TTTGTATCTTTGGGGTAAATACCCAGTAGTGCAATTGCTGGGTCGTACGGCAGCTCTATTTTCAACTTTCTGAAGAACCTCCATCCTGTTTTCCAGAGTGGCTGCACCGGCTTGCATTCCCACCAACAGTGTAGGAGGGTTCCCCTTTCTCTGCATCCCCACCAACATCTGTCGTTTCCCGACTTGTTAATTTTAGCCATTCTGGCTGGTGTGAGGTGGTATCTTATTGAGGTTTTGATTTGGATTTCCCTGATGCCGTGTGCTCCCCCATCTTCTAGCACAATGTGACTTATGCTTGAGAAACCCTGAGTCAGAGGTCACTAAGGTGTCTATCTGGGCTCCCCAGTTATAGCTGGCCTCGCCAGAGAACACCGACAGTTTCTTTCATTTCTTTCGTATCTCCCTTTCTTTGGACAAGCCTATAAAAACTTACAGGGGCCTTTTACAGCATTTTCCATATTCCATAGGTCCTAACTTCCATACTGCATCTTATGCAGATGGCCTTGACTCCTAATTTCCTCAGATACCTGAGCCATTGAAGAAGACCTACTTCTGACCAGTCTCTCTCCTGTCTAGCTCAGAGTAGGAGTCTACTCTTCCCAACTAGGCCTCACCCAGGCCTGTTCCTGGGTTTTTGTCCAGACTGCCTCTTTCTCTAGAATGGGTCCCCTCGTCCCTTCTGCTTTCAAGCCCCACCAAATCCCAAAGGCCCTGTTCCTTCCACATGTGCATGTCACCTCTTCAACCGTACAAACCTCTTTAAAGGCAGGAAGTACGTCTCATACCTTTTTCCATTCATAGGATCTAGCGTGATGCTTTGCCTATAAAGAGTGTAATACTTTCTAAAAATAAATGTTTTATTTTAGAGTAGTTTTAGGTTTATAGAAAAGTTATAAAGGTACTACAGAAAGTTTGCATATACTCGACCCAGTTTCCCCTATCACTGACATTTGCCACAACCTGTGAACCAATATTGACATGTTATTCAATTATTAATAAACTTAATTTATTGTTAATAGAGTCCATACTTTATTCAGGTCTCCTTAGTTTTCACCCAGTGTCCTTTTTCTAATCCAGGATCCCATCTAGGACCCCACATTACCTTAGCTGTTACAATTAATTGGTTTTGCAATTCATTTTTGAGAATGACAAATTAAGAAAAAATGAAAGTCAGACAGGCCAAATAAAAATATGATTCCTATCAAGTTTGAAAGTAAAATTTGACTAGAAAACAATTTATATTAATAATGCACCTATTTAACATAGGCTCTTTGTTTGTTTACACAATGAAAAGGTACCTTCTAAAGGTATTAGTTCCCTCAGATAGCTTCAAGTACTTTAAAAGACTGTAAGTTTTTGATGCTTTTATCAAGATGAAGGCTTGAGTATAATCTAAGCACAAAGTTCATTCTTTAAAGTAAGTCAATTTGAGATAAGTTTCAATAAAAAAAAAATCTCTCTTTAGGTCCTTGAGGGTCATACCCAGTAATGGTTGGATAATAAACTGGCTGTTTCTAAACAAACCCGCATGGAAGACCGAACTAACTTACTACTGACAAGATGGAAAGTGACATCTCTACAAACTCTCAAACTGTTCTGGAGTGATGTTGTGAAATCTTTAACTTAAGGTAAGCATTTTATGAAGAGGTACAAAACTGTCAAGTGTAGAACCCTATACAACAATTATTTCATCTGTCACTGCTCAATTTTAAAATTGAAGGAATTAGGGGCGCCTGGGTGGCTCAGCCGTTAAGCGTCTGCCTTTGGCTCAGGTCATGATCCCAGGGTCCTGGGATCGAGCCCTACATCGGGCTCCCTGCTCCGTGGGAAGCCTGTTTCTCCCTCTCCCACTCCCCCTGCTTGTGTTCCCTCTCCCACTGTGTCTTTCTCTGTCAAATAAATAAATAAAATCTTAAAAAAAAATAAAATTGAAGGAATTAAAAAAGATTCCTGTCCCACTAAACAATGACTTTCTTGTTTAGGTATGTACTTTTTTCAAAATATACTTGCCTTGATATGTTCTAACCAATGAGTAGACTCCAAACTGGACAACCAGTGAGATTCTTCCACATTAGGATAAACAATGTCTTTGACTTTTTTTAAAGATTCCCGCATGACATGAATGTTATGAATGTCTAAGAAGAAAAGTTCGGCGTTATGATATGCATCATCACTTTCATATCCTCCTCCTGTTGCCTGAGAAACAGCAAGACACACAAACAGTCAGTTGGGTTTTCTATTTCATCAGAAAACTTACACAAATATTTCAAGTTACTGGTCCTCCAAATCTCAACCTAAAACCTTCCAGCTTGGATGCAATGATTGACGTGACCGGACTTCCCATCCAACACTGAGCCTCAACAACATCAGTCACACTCTGAGCTCGGGGAAAAAACAAACAAACAAACGAAACAGGAGGCTGGCAATTTCCTGGGGATCTGTATTTGCAAGAAAAAAAAATCACTTCAAAATGTTCCATAATTACTAGCTCTTCTTCTGGATCTGGAAAGGCAAGAGCGGTTCTCGAGCGTCCTTTTCCCCTATGGGTTTTGTAGCAGTACTCTTCGGCAGCGGGAGAGGGGCGGGGCGCGGCGCTAACTCGAACAGCACTCAGCTTCAGCCTCTCTTTGCTCTGTGATTTGAGGCAAAGCACTCAACCTCTCTGAGCCTCAGTGAGAACACTAGGTAGGCTAAACAGGATTAAAAGGAGTCCTACTCTGTCACAGTTAACACCAGCCACCATTTAGTGAGCCCCAGTGAAGTCCCAGATACTAAGATTCTTGCTTTACATCCTCTTATCTAATTCTTACAGCAATGCCGCTGGATAGGTATTGCTATCCCCATTTTGTCAATGAGGAGAGATGCTATTTAATGATCCCCAAAGGTACACAGTAATCAATCAGTAGAATTCCAGGTGTCCGAGTTCAAGGCCCAGACCTTTTCTAGTGCACCATGACCACCTGTCTGCCATGCAAACACCAGGGACAGAGAGCTGCACTGCGCCGAGTAGGCCCTCAAAGAGCAAAAGGTTTCAAGAGGAGACAAGCTGGTCATCATCTGCCACGGCGTCTGTCAGGAGTGACTTGCCAGGACAGGCATCCGGACCGCTTCCCAGCATGGCGAAGATACCCATTTTCCATGTATAGCAAAAGAAATGGAATGGCTGCATTCTGCCTCATGTTTTAAAATGCCATGGAACATGTGGCCTCTGGCCCTTTAAGAAAAAGTTAAATAATTCAGAGACTTGCCAAGAAAGCAACGGTTCTCCAAGCTGAAATGGAAGGGGAAGGCATTGGACAAATGTGCTGTTGCTACATTTTGCCTCTTTTCTTTTTATTTATAACAATAGAAAGAATATATAACTTGTAACTCAGAACAGAAGGGCCAATGCAGCCCATGTTTTTTTTCCAGGGTTAAGTCACAATGGTTTCCTGCGGGATAGAAGTAAGGCAACCACTTGAATTTCAAACCTAAAGACCTATGTACAAGCCAGAGGTCTTGGTCTTCCCAGACTCTAGGTGAGAAAATAGGTTTTATTTAGAAATATATTTTTAAAGCTTGTCACAAACAGCATCAGTATAAGTAGACAAAACACATTCAAACTTGTTGTTTTTAAAAAAGTTATTAGCTAATGAATAAATAGACAGATGAGCCCTATTTCCCTCTTCTTGGTTATCCACGCCTCAGGGCACATAACACCTTGCGGCTCTGATCAGAGGCTGACAGAGGTGCCCCTATCCACCTGGCAGTCACTTTCGTAACCTGCAGGCACATAGCCTGGGAGCAAACAGCGAGCCTCAGTTTTGCCAGAGCTGCGAGTCTCTAATGCAATGACAAGTCACCCTCCCATGGATGACCTGCTTCTCTACCCATGTGGTTTTTAAATAGTTACAGTGATTTTTCAGAGATTCTCAATGCTGGAGTTTCTTTCATAAATAACTGAAGATAATATGCAGAAAAATAAAAGGCAAAATAGACTTTTTGCCCCTTGCCTGGGTTTTGTTTGTTTACTTTATAATGGTGTAATGTTGATTATTACGTTGGGGGTGGGGGCTGTAAATTTCTAAATATCCACAAAGGAGGAACGATCAGGTCCAAAGAGAACAGAAGTCAGAAGGGTAAAAATCAATTAGCCAAGCATAGATTGAGTTCCCAAAAGTTCAAATTCTCCATCTCTGGTTAGTTTTGAAGTCTTTTCAGTTTCCTTCTCTTCAACAAAAAGGAACAACCCTGATTATCTAGTATGACGACATAAAGGTTCAAGGGCCTGTTGCTATGGATATAGATGACTAGGGGAGAGACATAGCTGAGGGAGGAGGGAACGGGGGCTTGGTTTTTAAAGAATGCTGCAGAGATCTTTAAAGCCTAGGTTTTTTCCTTAATTTTTTCCTTCCCTTCATTCCTAAGAGCACTAGTAACACAGGCATATTTCCTGAGTGTTAAAAAAAGGCATTCAAGAATTCTGTTCCATCTTTCTAAATACCTCATTTTAATGTTACATCATATCTATTTCAGGTTAAATGTATACATGCAAATATTGCATTTTATACATGTTTTCAACTCTGAATTATATATGAGGGATGGAACAGAAATACCTAACATTACAAATAATGCAAGAAGATATTCATCTCTAGACTTAATTTCCTAAATGTTTACTTCTACTTCCTAATTTACTCGTCAACAACACTCCCTGATTGCTTTACCTATAATTTCAAAATCATTTCCATTACTGAAACAAAAATCAACTGCAATAACAGATAGCTGGGCCAAGAGCACACAGGGAGCAGAGGGGACTCCGCAGATGTGAACGTGTAAGACACACAATCCATGTGCAAATAATGGCGAGTGGAGCTGCACACGCATGCCATTTTACACACCCTTCCATTGAGGAAGCTGCTGCATCTCGCCGAGCTGCTTGAGGACTTGTTTTGCTTTCAGGGTCTTGTCTTGTGCAATGACTAATTGAAGATGCCAGAAAAGTGACCTCGGATAAGCAAAGTATTCACGATGATGACATTTAAGCCTACGGCTGATGAGAAACAAGAACTCTGAAAGGCGCAATGGCGGTGAACAGCCCAGGGCAGGCCCACTGTGGGCACTTGCAAGTGACAGCTGGAAATGATAGGAGAGGGAAAAACGAAACAAAGAGGAGAAGTTGAATGTAAAAAGCATAATAACCTGGGGCTGCTCAGTGTACAAATGGCCTTATACGTTGCGGCAGATTCTGTGGAAGCTTCTGAAAGCGACACTACCTAGTCACTGATGTTCACAATGATGACCCCGATCAACTTCCGGGGCACTCAGCATACTCTGCGTACGAAGGCCAAGAAGACAACGGAGACAGATTTTCTTTGAAAACAGTAACACTGTGTGCACATGACTATAAAATCCATGTACAGAGATCTACTCATTTCTTCAATTATCTTCTATAAATGAGAAGACCCATTCATAAGGATAGTGAAGAGACCGTCTGGATAAAGCTACAGATTGAGGATTTTAACAATTTCGGCTTCCCACAACTCCTCGTAGATGCTTCAGCAGTCTATATATCAAGAGGGATCAAGAACAGCCTAAAGAGCTCCGAAGAGACTCCAACTTTTGCCAAAATTGAAGTTCATTACAGTTCTATACCCACCTAATTTACCTAAAGGTTATTCTCATTTGATCCTAATAGATTCGACTTTCAAGATACATTTTGTGATTAAAACTACTTCCTACCTCAGCAAACCAGTTTTCCCATTTCAACTAAGTTTAACTCTTAATGTAAGCCCACATGTTGACACACCGTGCAAAAACATTCACGTAAAGCATGGCATGCTAGCCGTAAGATAAGCATCTAGCGTGTCACTAAATATACTCACCTTGTTGGCCACCGCATTTACATTGGGTCTTGCATCATAGATTGTGAGTTTAGAAATTTGTCTGTTAGTCTCCCTGATAACATCGAGATACTTCTCATCATCTTTATTCCGTTTACCACTCATACCGACAAGAGGCTGACTGCAACGCACGATGACTGTGTTGTTTTCTGGATGAATCCATGACAGCACCTATGGTGAGTTCAGAAATTTTAAGCTATCAAGAAAAAAAACAAACCTCAAAACCGTTAGAAATATAAAAAAAAAATAATAAAGCACAAACAATCATGATGAAGTGAGTCTGATTTGGCCAGAAGAGAATACTTATTTACGTGTGCTATCACAGTGTGTGCACGATGAGGACTATTCAGAGACAACTAGAATAACCAATTGCTTTACTAGTCTTTTCTTAATTAGCACCACATCTCGTAGAGGTTAAATGCTTACCTAAAAAAAAGTTCTATCACTTAAAGGGAATAAAAAGCTTCTGATACTACTTCAGTTCTGTAGCCTGCGCTGGATTTCTCAGACAGAAACAAGCTTTAGCAAGAAGTGAGACCTAATGAAAATCATCTCTGCTATAATGTGTTTCTATAAGACCAAACTCACTTCTACAGGTCATCTCCCCCACAGTCTCAATTCTAGAATCTCACATAGTGGGGAGAAAAACCCAAGGGAAGCCAAAAACAAACAAACAAACAAACAAGCTCTCAGGATGACCACAGAGCTGCCAGAGGTCCCACAATGAAGCTGTGCACACAAGCCTAGCACGGGGGTTACCCGGTTTCTAAGCTCGCAGTGCAGGAGAAACACCACCTGTAAAAGGTAGCTAACAATATAATACAATAAAAACTATGGAAGTGTCCACTTTAAGTGCGTGAGTTGTTTGGTAGGTGGATTAGATCTCAAAGCTGTTAAAACAAAACAAAACAAAACAAAAAGGGAGCCAGGAGTTGACTGTGGTGGGCAACAGTGTGGGCTCTGGGGGCGGCACATCTCTGTTGTGGCTGTAACCTGGGCACGGAGCTCACAGCCTCTGTCGCTCCCCTCTCCTCCATCAAATGGGGGTGGGGGAACATGACTCCATGGCCCTGCTGGGAGGATGAGCGAAGAACACATGTAAAGTACATTCCAGGGGCAGGCCAGGTGGCCTGTGAAGTCAGATAGGGAAAATTGTGAAAAGCAGACGCAAGAACTGAAGAAGCTCACTTACTACAAGGCCAAATGCGTTGTCATCTCTGAAGTCACCCCCTCCATGATGGCAAATGATAAGCACTGATGTTCATAAAAACTGATGTGCATAATAGTGACAATAAGTTAGTGAGAAAAGATTATACAGTAGCGTGAATGAGTACTCATTCACTGAGTCTTTGTGCCATGCCAGAGACCAGTAAAAACACCACTGTGGCCCCTAAGAATCCAAAGGCTCAGAACTGGGAAGCCCTGGGACAAGCACTGGTCTCCTGGACCTCCATTTTCCAAGCAACAACGTGGAGGTGACACTGGCCCAGCCTGCCTCCTGTGGCCCTTGTTTCGAGACAGGTAAGAGACAGGAGATTCCTTTTATGCATGTATGTATGTATTTTTCATTTTTCAGGCTTACTGAGATATAAGTGATCTACAACACTGTAAGTTTAAGCTGCACAACATGTGGATTTGATACAAGATCACCTTTAAAAGAGCACACTGCTACACATACAAGAGGCTTGTTATTTGATAAACACCCGCACCAACTGTTAAATTTAAATCAGGTTCTAGGCAAGAAACTGCCGTGTGCCACCACAGTGCCCTCCCTCCCTCCATCCCTCCTCTCCCTGCCTGGGAGATTTAAGGCTGGAATCACCATGCCGTTAAGAAATGCTACTCTTGTAAGCTGTTTTGCTTCTTTCTTTCTTTTTCTTTTGGGATCGCGACTATCTTCTTAAAAAGGATGCTTGCTGTTTGACTCACAGGTATAAAGAATGATCACTTCATAACACCAACTACCATGACTGCTTTCAAAGGTTGTTCCGATTAAGGTTAGTATCTAGAAGCCATAGATAATTAAGGATGTACACGCATATTTAGCCACCAAAAGATGTTGATCGCAGCACTGTTTATAATAGTATAAGATTAAAAGGAACCCACATGTCTCACAACAGAAAACGGATATAATACAGCAGGGTACACCGAAACCCTTGCACACACTCATCTCTTTCCAAGACGATGCTACGCAGAGAAAGCGGACTGAGGCACAAATTACAGAATAATTTCATCTTTTTAAATAAAAATATGTCTGCATAGAAGGAAGTTTGGAAGAACGTAGACCAAAATGTTAACTGTGGTTCTCACTAGGGGGCAGACTCCTGTTTTGCTTATCGGCATTTTGTTACATATCTAAAATAACTATGTATTACTTATATGTAAGGACTTCTGTAACTTTAAGACAAACCTGTTTGAGAACACAGGGATGCTATAAGAACAGATGTATGCATTAATGGGAACACTGATGCACGTGGATCATTTTGTTATTCAACAATATCTTACAATCGTTTATGTCCTATTTATGCACAAAATAACAAGAGTGCTTTCTCATCAATTCCTTTTGTATTTTTATATGGGCTTTTAAAAAAGAACTGAATAGCAAATATTAATGATTTCACATTAAAATCAAATACATTTTCTGGGGTATAGTCAAGAGTCAGGTGGTTAGAAGGTGTATCAGAAAGACTACATTATCTACTATTAAATATTTTTTTTTTAAAAGATTTTATTTATTTATTTGAGGGAGAGAGAATGAGAGAGAGCACATGAGGGGGGAGGGTCAGAGGGAGAAACAGACTCCCCGCCGAGCAGGGAGCCCGATGCAGGAATCGATCCAGGGACTCCAGGATCGTGACCTGAGCCGAAGGCAGTCGCTTAACCAACTGAGCCACCCAGGCACCCTGCTCTTAAATATTCTTAAGCGTTGGTAATCTATAAAGATATAGACATGATGGAGAGCTTAGCCTTTATTAGGAAAAATAAAGGCAGACTGGTGGCCGTTATGAAGTAAGAAGGATCAATAAAATGGCTAAATAAGTAAAAAGTTAAGCATTCTATTGGCTCTATGGTAGACTTTCATTCACTCAGGATAGTGGAGAATAGTAGGTCCACAGTGGACTGGGCACAGCTGTTTCATCTCCTCTCCTGCCCCAAATCCCATGAATTCACACACACACACACACACACACACACACACACACATGCGCATGACATGGTCGATGTTCAACTGAATGAAGGCGTGAACAAAATCGATCCACACTACCCTAGCCTAGTTCTCCTGTAGGCGAGACAGGGGTGGAGTCTATAGCTATGGCACAGAAAAGTATGTCACAACGGAGCAGAAGAGGAGTAAGTAAACTTGTAACTCTAGCCTCATTGCCACTACATTCTAGCAAAATGACCTAAAAAACATATGTTCAAGTATGATATAGATCATTAACATATGAACAGATTTCTACTCATAATTAGAGGAGCGAGTGAATTTTAAAAGTTGTGATTCCTATTATGTTGACATTATACAAAAGTTCCACACAAATGTCCTTTTAAGGACAAAAATTTCTAGACTTGGAGTTAAAGGCAAGGTGACATTAAATCTTAATTTCTTCAGTCCTTATTTTTCCAAAATCTGTTATTTAGAAAACCAAAACAAAACAATGTACTTATTATGACATGTCCTGAAAATTAAGAGGGGAAAAAATTCTCTAAATTTTTAGTCAATAAAATTTATGCACACAAAGTAGACGGTATGACTCATACATAAATATTTAAGAGCCAAAGAGAACTTTGTGAACTAGGTCCAATGATACCCTAAGTATACTGTCTGGAATAATCTGCACTTGGCTCAGGTTTGCTAATGGCATTCAGGCAGCTTGCAAATGTGATGAGGACGAGCTAGACCTACTAGAGCCAGCACTCATGTGCTCTATTATAACAGAAGACAGGCAGCGTGTCATTTCCAGTATGATTCAGCCGACGCTCATGGAGAGCCCGTCACATGTCAGGTATGGTACTACAAAGGTGAAAACCATAAAACCCCTGTCCTTCCTTCTTTCTTTCCAGCTAGCACTTGGTTGATCTATGCATTATTTATACCCTCTCTCATATGACAATTAGTTTACGCTCATTCTCTGACCTTGATTGTGAGCTCTGGAAGATGGGTGCTGTCTTACTTCTTTTCCCAGTTGGCATAGTACTTTGCACTCAGAAGGCACTTAAAAATTATATGGTGGATTGAAATTCCAAGAGTGTTTCTCTGACTTAACTACTATTCTTATGGGATAAAAGGCAATCTTTGAGGGAAACTAACTGTAGTACTCACTGGAATTCGATTTCTGGATCTAAAAGTTGCAACTCTCCTGAGATCGTCATCTGAGGCACGATATGGAACCACCAAGAGAGCAGGGTAAGTGTCACAGAGTTCATAGCACTTATTGATAAAAGTTATTCTCCAGTGGTGATTGGGCAAGCCCTGTAGGAAAAAAGGAAGTCCAAGTCAGTACTGCACAACTTCATCTCTGGATTTGGCCTTGGCTCTCCTTCCTTCTTTCTAGCAGAATCTGCACATGCCTCTTTGACCACAGGGTAGGGACAGTCTACCATTTGTACTAAAGGGAGCCAGATCCGTAATCCAGACAACAGAAGAACACAAGACAAAACACTGGTGGTTCCCATAATTCTGAAATATCATTGGTCAATAGAGATTCTCTTGAATTTGAGATCTTCCTTTATTTCATGTCAAACTATTTCTTACTACTTGTACAATAAAGATAAACCCAAGTTCATCGCCCACCTGTGTACCCCACCCCCACCCCAAAGAAAAGTGCATCATGTAGTTTCAACCTGTGTCTAACTGATGGTAGAAAGAGATCGGGCTACTTCCTATCCCTATGCAAAACAGAGTGAATGCTTCAGTCTGCTCCAAAGTAGAAAGAGGTTAAGTTTATGAAGAAAGTCACAGAGGGGAAATAGAGGAAAACCCCTCTGGGGAGGCTCATTTCGCCACCTCCTAAAAGTTTTTTCAATCAAGTGGTTTGGGATCGGTGATCACTCTGTAGGTTGTGTGAGAAATACAGTCATCTGCATTCTAAGCACACTACTAATGTGACAGGGAGACACAGAGTACACCTCCCATCCTGTCATCCACCCACAAAACCGTATCTAGTATGGACAAGATCCAGAGGTGGTGGAATATTCTCTCCCCATACTCACAAATACACAAATACACACACAAAAGTGAGCTATGTGGGTGCTTGCTTTGGGGACAGACATTGTACCTTTTCCTTAGGTCTGGTCCTATAGACCACGGACCAAACAGGTGAGTCTGATGCTGAGTCCAATTAGAGTTTTAAGTCCCATGAGAAAGTTATAAGAAGAAAAGATGAAATATAATGGCAGTCTAAAACAAAATACCTTTCAATAGTTCGTATATGCATGCAATCTTAAACATGAACTGTCTTGTTTCAAGCTAGAAACATTGATCTAAAAAATAAGTCTTAATATTGTCAGCAACACTCCAAAACTAAGGTACAGATACTTAAATACATACTGCTACAGAGGTCTCCAGAACATGCAAAATGTTTTCATGGTCTTTCTTCTGCCTCAACAACTGACCCAGAACAGAGGTCATTAAAATGAGAGGTATATATAGCCTTTGAAAACTTAACAGTCTGAAGCTGCAGAGGATGTACCACCTCATGCATGTGATTTTTAACTCCTGCACCCTCATTCCTGAGCATCGAATCTGCTTACAAATATGTACACCACTGGTCAAGGCTAAAAAAAAAAAATCAGCGCGGGTGCTTGGTAGTGGAGGTGGTGGCTAGAAGGTTCTTCTCAAGTCTAGGGTTCTAAGATTTTACTTTACATTCACTGCCTTTTCATATAAGGCAATTGGGCTTGATCTGATTCTCAAAGCTCACTCGACAAAAGTTCCCAATTATTTTAAAAGCTGTATAGGATGAGAACTGTGAAAAACTCCATCACATAACTCCTAGCTGGCCTACAGATTTGGTTAAACCAGAGGTCAAATTGTGGCTCTTGTACATAAAATGCACAGGCTCTTCTTCACGAAATGCCACAAGAGACCTTTGTCCCTGAACAGCAACACTGTATCAAGCCTCTTGCCTTTGTTACAGCACATAATCATGCACGTGGGTGAAGTCTACAGAAGAGAGCAATAAAAGCAATTTTGATATACATTCATCAAAGTTTTCTTGGAAAAGTCATCATTACAGGGAAACTGTTCTAATTCATTTCAATCTGCAAACCAGAATAAATATAATTTGAATCTAGCTGTCAGTGATAGTTAAGCTCCCGGATACGTAAATATATAGTGACATGAACTCCTAAAGAGTAAGGTATAGAAGTTTGACTCTTCTAGACTCCAAATATTTGATTCATTTCATGAACAACATATCATATGGCTATGGAATGAGCTCATAAATTACAGAGTAATCGATAAAATAAGCTATAACTGCCATTTAAGCTAGACTTTGCAAGGATTTCACTGATGCTCAAAGAGCATGACCAACAACATATTGTCACCCGGCATGTTTGCGATTCACCACATGACTTACCTGCCTTCTGTATTCTTCGACTGGATTATAAACTGTCCACCCATCCACGTTAAACTTTTCTTCATTTAGAAACGCAAATATGGGCTAGAAAAGGCAAAAGGAAAAAAAGAATTTAAAGTTCCACGTGACGGAACTAACAGTCTACTAATACTACATCCTCCGAGTTTTCACCCACCAGGTTTGCCTACCATGAAATCACAATCCAAAGCGAGACTTTCAAAAAGGAGTAAGAGTGGAAAATACAGACGGGACTTAATGCTACCTTCTAGCTTGAGTTATCATTACTTCTGAGACCTCAATTTTCTATGGCTACAAACATCTCTTTTAATTTGTCCTTTTAAAAATGATGTTCCACAAAAATCAGGTTTCTAGACCAAAACACACCTATCCATTTTGAACAGTATTAGCAATTGATCAGGTAAAAGTCACTTAAAAAAAAAAAAAAAGGAAATTCAGGAATCATTATTAAACAGACGACTGTCTCAAAAGGGAACAATGACATGTTTATTTAAAAAGGGACAGGACATTAGGAAAATTCTTAATTAATGGTTCTCTGTGAATTCTGAATCAATGCCCTGATCTCTGTGAAATGACAGGACCCAGACCTCTCTTCTCTCTCTGTGCTCACTCTGGAGGCGATATTGATGAATTTCACAGCTTCAAATACCATCTATACTCTAGTGACTCCTAAGTACCTATGGCTCTCCAGCCCCGACTTGGATCTGCACACTTGGCTGTCCAAGGGACCGCTCCACAATTCCAGCCTGCCTCCAGAGGAGGACTCCGAAGTTAACACATCCAAAGCCAAACCCTTGAACGCCTCCCATCCTGCTCCTCCTACAGCCTCCCCATTTCAGTAGATGGCAGCCCCATCCTTCTAGTTGAGCCCAAAACCTTGGTGTTATCCTCATCAACTCACTGCCACCACCCTGGTCTAAGCCTCAACCATCTCCCACTTGCATCATTATAATAACCTCCTAACTGGTCCCCTACTCTCCTCTTTACCTCTAAAGTCAGAGTAATGGTGTCACAACCTAAGTCAGCTCAAGTCATTCTCCTGCCCCAAATCCTCCTGTGGCTTTCCATCTCACTTGGAGTCAAAGCAGAAGTCTGTCCAATAGCCTACATATGGCTGTCCGCCCTCTGGCCACAGCCCCTATCAGGCCTCTGCTCTCCCATTGCTCACTCCACTCCAGCCACACTGGCCTCCAGTGCTATTCCCCCAAAGCATCAAGCACAGACCAACATCAGGGCCTTTCCACCTGCCATCTAGCTGTCTGGAATCCTTTTCCTCCATGGCTTTCCCCTTTACTTCTTTCGCATCTCTGCCCAAATGTAACCTTAATCAGTGAGACTTATTCTGACACCCTATAGAAAAACTACATGCTATTCCACCCCCCCAGAACAGCACCCCTTATTCTCCTTCCCATTTTATTTCCCCCTATTACTTATGACCATCTGACAGATTATATGTATACTTCTTTGTTTACTGTTGGACTCCCACTGTCCCCTCCCCTAGACCAGGGGCTCCATAAGACAGACACCTGCTTTGGTCACATCCTATATCCCCCGTAACTGGAACAGTATCTGGTCCATAGTAGGCAGAATACGTATTTGTTGCCCCAGGGAAAATGTCAAGTCCATACAGCCCCTGTACTACCACCTTCTCTGGAAGCACTGGGTTTGGGCACTTTTTCCTCTGTTGTCGTCCTACAACTGTGCATGCCAGAATCCCCTCCCCCACACTACAGAGCATTTCTGGAAAAGCCTTGCTTGGCAGCAACAGTTTTATGTATTCAAAAAGCAAGAGGTTTAAGAGATTGCTCTCTGGACTGTCTTCTTAAACTTTCTTTCTTTCTTTTTTTTTTTTTTAAAGCACAGGGCACCCTCAGCAGGTCTCAATCCAGGCAGTGGTAGGCCCAAATGCTGTGTATTCTACAATGGGTAGCAATTCGTTGAGGCTTTAGATAGACATGGAATCCACAGCAATACTTAATTATTCCTACCACTCGGGAAACACGTGATTTCTGTTAACTTCAGTTTAACTCAAAGACAGGGGGACTTTTGATGGAAATAGCGCTAAAATGTACGGTGCACTTGTTTATCCCTAAACAGAATCCGTAGCACGTATCAAAGCACTGTCTTGGTGACATCTGAGTACTGGATATTATACTGATCAATTCTGCTGAATACTGTGCTGCTGACATATGTGTAGATGCCAGGTGGTTTGAGACACAGGGCTGTCATTCCCTTTAGAAGAAGACCTATAAGCTGCTTTCTTGGAAATGAGTTCCTGACCTCCACATTTGTTTTTGTTTTTGTTCATTTTGTTTGTTTGTTTTTAGTTATTTGCACCTTTCCCACGGAGCTCAAGTGAATATGGCAGCCTTTTAAAAACAAAGAATAAAATTACTAACTCAAAGGCCGGATAAAGCTTTCTCTCCAGAAAAATCGTCATGTGTGTTAATGCTATCAGTGTCCTTTGACTTGCCAGCAGCATTTTCAATGTAACTATTTCTCAGTCATGAATAATAAAGCAACTCTGCTCTTGCTTCACATATTCTCTTGTATCTTATATTAAAATTACTGATAAGTTTACAAAATTATTATCAGAAGATGAAAGTTATATAGCCCAAACCAAAATTATCTCCATAATTTCTTTAATATGTTTGCTTTAAGGGAACTCTGAATACAAGTAATATATAAAATTGTCATTAATAGGAGAGTGGGTACAACGTCCTCATGGTAGCAACATCTCAGGTGGCCTTTCTTGCGAAATCATTCTGGAAAAACACTTCACATTCTAAAGACATCCAGATGAACAGGATGAGTCAATGAACTGGCATCCTTTACCTCTGAAACATGCCTCTGAGAACTCTATGATGGAAACAACTCCCAGGTTAAGAGCTAAGAGCCAGACCTGGAGCTCAGATATTTCAGGAAAGTTTATGAATCACCCAACAGCCAGACAGTCCTGGTCATGAAATACACAGGAGCACATCTAATACTGAATTGGAGCTTAAGGTAAAAAAGACCAGGTGTTTAAACCAATATTTTAACCATCCAAATAAATTAGCTTACAATTATAAGGAAAAAATATATATATATTTAATATTTTATTTATTTACTTGAGAGACAGGGAGAGGGAGAGGAAG